TTTTGAATGGATGAATGTGGACTCTAGGATTACAGCCTGGCCCGACACAGTTTTGAATGGATTATATGGTCTCTAAGACTGATGAGGTTTAAAGAACTTGGGAAAACCTTGCTTTTTCACTTTGCCTTTGACCACAGGCCCCCTGCGGCATCTCAGATTTTAGCCAAGAAAGACCACCATAAGCCAATCAGATCTAACAGACCCATACGGAGCATTTCACCCAAAAAGAGCAGAATACACCTTCTTCTCAAGCATAACAGAGAACACTCTCTTACACTGACCAGACCGTATGTTAGGCCACAAAATCAGTCCTACATTTAAACAGACTAAAATCATACAAATTATCTTCCCCAACCAAAATGGAATGAGAAATTAGCAACAAAAGGAAAAGTGGAAAATTCACAAGTATATGAAAATTAAACAACACACAGTAAACAATCAACAAGGGAAAGCTAAGGACCAGATGGCTTCGCTGGTCAACTCTACACAGTGAACAATCAGTGGGTCAAAGAAGAAGTCACAAGGAAAATTAGAAAATACTATGAGATGAATGAAAACACAACATAGCAAAACTTCTGTGTTGCGCCAAAAGCAGGGCGCAGGGGGCAATTGTTCTATGAACGTATGCATTTTCTAAAGACAATCTCAAGCCAACAACTTAACTCTACCCCTGGAAGAACTAGAAAATAAGAACACAATAAAAGCAAAAGTTAAGCCAGGTGTGGTGGCTCACACCTGTAATCCCAGCACTTTGGGAGGCGGAGGCAGGCGGGTAACTTGGGCCCAGGAGAGGTTGAGGCTGCAGTAAGCCATGATTGTGCCACCGTGCTTCAGCCTGAGGGACAAAATAAGACCCAGTCTCAAAACAAAAACAAAAACAAAAAAATACAAAGCAGAAAGAAGGAAACAATAAAGATCAGAGCAGTCATAAATGAAATAAGGAATAGAAAAATAGTAATAAAACCAAAAGTTTGGTTTTCGGCAAGATCAAAAAAAGTGACAAACTTTTAGGTAAATTAAGAAAAAAAGACGCAAATAACATCAGAAATGTAAATGAGGACAGTACTACTAACATAAAATAAAAAGATGACAAAAGAATACTGTGAACAGCTGTATCCCAACAAATAAGACAGCCTAGACAAAACAGACAAACTCCTAGAAACATAAATCACCAAACTGACTCAAGAAGAAACAGAAAATCTGAATAGACCCACCACAAGTAAAGACATTGAATCAGTAACTAAAAATCTTTCAACAAAGGAAAGCTAAGGACCAGACGGCTTCACTGGTCAACTCTACCAAACATTTAAAGCAGAATTGACACCCATCCTCCAGCTCGTCTAGAGTTGAAACACTCCCTAGTTCATCCTATGAGGCATTATTACCCTGATAACTGTAAAACAATAAAACATTGCTGAAAGACATTAAAGACAATCGAAATAAATGGAGACATCCCACATTCAGAGAATGAATGATCACATTGTTAAGATGGCACTATTCCCCAAAACAATGTACAGATTCAATACCATCCCTATCAAAAATCCCAAAGGTCTTTTTTGCAGACATGGAAAAGCCAGACTTGAAGTTCATGTAAAACTAGAAGGGACTCGAAGTAGCCAAAATAATCTTGAGAAAGAAAAACAAAGTTGGAAGACTCACACTTCTCAATCTGGAAACAGTACAAATCTACAATGTTCGAAACACTGTGATACTCACATAATTATAGACATATAGAATATGAGAATGTAATTGAGAGTCCAGAAATAAACCTAAGAATCTCCAGCCAACTGACTTTTGCCAGGGGTACTAAGACCTTCAGGGAAAGAACAGTCTTCAACAAATGGTATTGAAACAATCAGATAATCAAAAGAAAAAGGTTGGACTCTTACCTCACACTGCATAAAAAAAATTACCTCAACACAGACCAAAGATCTAAATACGAGAGCTAAAACTAGAAAGCTTAACAGAAGAAAACATAAGGATAATCTTCATCAACCTTGTATTTGGAAATGGCTTTTTGGATATGATATCAAAAACACAGACAACAAAAGAAAGACAAATTGAGCTTCTTCAAAACAGAAAACGTCTCTGGATCAAAGGAAATACAATCCAGAGAACAGGAGAAAATATCCTCTAATTACATAAAGTAGCCTCTGATAAAGGTCTACAGATCTGTGAAGGTCTAGTATACACGAAGTTTTTAAAGAGTTTGAGGACTGGTGTTAATTCTTCTTTAAATATTTGGTATTCTTATATAGTGCACCTATTGGTGCCAACAACAAAAAGACGACAATCCCACTTAAAAAGGAGAAAGAGGCTGGGGGCAGTGGCTCACACCTGTTATCCCAGTACTTTGGGAGGCCAAAGCAGGCAGACCACCTAATGTCAGGAGTTCAAGACTAGCCTGGCCAACATGGCAAAACCCCATCTCTACTAAAATACAAAAATTAGCCAGGTGTGGTGGTATGTAACTGTAATCCCAGCTACTCAGGAAGCTGAGGCATGAGAATCACTTGAACCTAGGAGGCAGAGGTTGCAATGAGCCGAGACTGTGCCACTGCACTCCAGCCTGAGCAACAGAATAAGATTCCATCTGTAACATTAATAAATAAATAAATAAGGAGAAAGGGACTTGAATAGACACTTCACCAAAGAAGATATACAAATGGCCAACAAGCACACACATGTAAAGAAGCTCAATGTCATTCATCATTAGTGAAATGCAAATCAAAATCACAATGAGATACCCACTTCGCACCCACTAGGATGGCCTTAATTTTAAAACACACACACACACACACACACACACACACACACACACACAAAATAGTGTTGGCAGGGAAGTAGAGAAACGGAAACTCTGGAACCCTGTCCACTAATAGTGGGAATGTAAAGTGATACAGTGCTGTGGAAAAGTCTGGTAGTTTCTCAGTAAGTTACACATAGTTGTACCATATGACCCTGTAATTCCAGTCCTAGGTATATAATCAAAAGAACCAGAAACAAGTGTTCAAACAAATATTTGTATACAAATGTTCCTAGCAGCACTATTCACAAAAGTCAAAAGGCAAAGCCCAAATGTTCATCAACAAATAAATGAATAAACAAATTGTTATATATTCATACAATGAAATCTTTTTCAGCCATAAAAATAAAGTACCAACATATACCAAATGAAATAACCCAGACACAAAGGCCACAAATGGTATGATTCCATTTATATGAAATATTCAGGATATGCAAAACCATAGACAGAGAAAACAGATTTGTGACTGCCAGGGGATGGAGGGCAGGGGAATCAGGACAAATGGGGTACATTTACAGTGATGAACAAGTTCTAGAACCAGACAGTGGTGATGACTCTAGAAAACTGTGAATGTATTTAATACCACTGAATCGTAAAGTTAAAATGATATACTTCCTGCTATTTCTTACCACAATTTACAAAAAGCTTTAAAAAAAAAAAGAAAGAAATCAAAGCAAAATCTTGACGTTGTCCCAAAGGCTCTCAAGCCGGTGCAGACCTACCAATCAGGCGCAGTGCAGTCTGTGTGAGGGCCAGCATGCCGGAATTGAGCAGGAGGTCGAGGTTGTTGGCGCCGTGCTGCAGGGTGAGCATGCTCAGCATCACCAGGAGGAAGCGGGCTTGCGGGATGGTCCCCAGACTCGGTCCTGATGGGTTCTCATTGGTAATGGTTTGCAGGGGAACCGGCTGGATACCTAACAAACATTGGCACCCACTTACATTTCTCGTGCATGGATACAAGAATATACATAATGCAGAAAGCACTGGCGATGACTTAAACATCTGACTGTTTTTCGGTGGGCTTCCACGGAGTGGGCAGCTCTGCTGTGCTGCACGGTGGGTCTAACCCCTGCACTCCACATACAGGTCGCTCCATCTGTCTGCTGGACTTGCATGCTGCTCTCTGAATATCCCGGGGGCCCTATTCCATTCCTTCCATCTCAAATATAAAAGTTATGTCTCACATTTCCTCCACAAAACCAGTCCAATCACTCTCTGTAGGTGCTCAAACTATCCAGGAAATAAATAGTAATACAGGACACAGACACTTTAGGATAAGACGTGTGATACACACAAAATGTGAAAATGTAAAAATGTTTTACTAGAGTACTTCAACACTGTGTCTCCTGCTAAATTTTAAAGTTTTGTTTAAAATCTGAGAAAGCCGAAAGCAGCACAGATTATACAAAGTTATTAAAGTCTTCTCAAAAGCAAAAATTAGCATTTGCAAGTTTCCACAGCATATAATTCAAGCCAAACCATAAAATAACATTGATACAATTGTTGACATTATTGCAACATCAATTTTAATACAGGCTTTTAACCCTCAGGTTTTTTTTTAAACTCACCAAGCTCTTTAAATTTGGCATTGGCATCCATCAAAACATTCCGAATGTTCTGGACAGCCCACGCATACAGCTTGCCAAAGGTGACTTCCAGCAGCATCCGATTAAAAGGTGGGATCAAATCAACATCCTTTAAACAATCAGTGAGAGGTTCCCTTTCAAATGAAGATAAAGAGGTTTACTCAGGACATTGCCAGACAAATTTTAACTATTACAGAACACTTTGTTCCCAGAGCTTCCTTAATTAAGAAAAAAATATTACAATGTTTTACCCTATATCAACTCCCTCAGGAATAAGCCTTTGCCATCCACAAAACACCGCGTACTGAACAGATGGAAGTAAGAAATTCCTGCTTGCCAATTTTAAAATTGTATCTATCCCTTCCAGGCGAACCTCAGCTCTCTCCAACTGCAAAATATCAATGCATACAGTTAAGTGTTACATATATTACCCAGTGCAGAGAAGCAGTTCTCATCAAATGTTACCTGTTTTAGTAGACACTTTCTCATTTTTTCCACATCCACTGGCTCTTCCTTAAGAGCAAATTCAGCAATGGTACTGAGGAGTGCAGACTGCGGATAAAGACCCTGAACGTTCTGCTTCAACCACTTGTACTTGTGAACGCCCGTAACTGTACTCAGTAGTGGCTGCCATTTGTCCTACAAAATAAAACAATTTTCACCATTGGTCTACCCTACCTAATACTAAACAGTGATCCAAAACTCATTCAAGTAAAATATAAATAAACAACGCTCATGGGTTTAAATTGGTTAAAATATGTTAAATTTAATAACTAATACATGGTTTAAAAATGACGCTCTAAGTATTCTTTTAAGTGAATTTAGAATCTCTACACTGATATATGTTGGGAAAGGCTAGCTTGACATACAAAGTTATGGTTCATATTAATAGCCACGGGGCCCAGCACTGTTTCTGGAACAAAGAATACATTTAAGGAATTAACGGTGAATAAATAATGACACAATGTAGTACCAAAAATAAAACGAAACCCTTCCCCAGCTACAGCTCTGACCAGGGCATCAAACGTCAAGTTCACGAAGCATCTCTGGGGCCTTTTTTCTAACAACCGCCCACCTCCCTCCAGATGCTCTGGTACAGAGGTACGAGATGTGTGGATTCCTTTGCTACACGCTATGATTCTATTCAGCTAATCTCAGAATCACAGAAAATACTGCACCTTGGGTGATTTAATTGCAATGGGTCTCTTGTCCACATTTATTGGACTATGAGGCAAAATGCAAGCTTCTTCTAAATCACTCTCTTCGTTTCCAATTTTTTCTTCATCATCTGTAGATTCCGGCTTCTTAGGAACTGTGTTTTAAAACATGATTCACTATAAAAATCATACACTTAAATATAATTTTAAATTAAGACTTAGACTTGCATGAAGACAAATATTTCATTCAAATAAACATGGTGAACATTATAAATTACAATGCTGAAATGACACAAGGGAAATGATTGCCATGTCAGAACAGAAAGACAAAGTGAGAGCGTAACAGGGGAGAAGCCCTGAAGCAGGGGCGCCTGGCAGCCAGCAGGCTCCTCCTCAAGGGCAAGGAGGGAACATCAGAGTCTTTTCAGGCCAGGCAGTCTGCTGCAAATGCTCAACTCTCCTCTTGCAGCACAAAAAGTAACCACAGATAAATGAATAGGTGTGGCTGCGCTCCAATAAAACTTCATTTATGCTACTACAATCTTAACTTCACGTAATCTTTGTGTGTCAAAAATAATATACTTCTTTAAATTAAAAAAAAAAAAAAGTCTTAGTCCATGGGCAACACAAAGCAATCAAGAGGTGGAATTTGGCCCACGGTTCCTGGTGGTTCTCTATCAGTGTGTAACTGAATCAACTGAATTCACTGTGATATGTGAAATTTCCTCCCTGTATTTTCCCTCTTTTAAAATTCTTGGTGTAAATCTCCTCAGCATATAACATACAAAATAAGCAACATAATAATACACCTGGGCAGTAAAGAGCTAACACAGTAGACCAGGGTTGCTCAAACCCTGCCAATTCCCGAGGAAGGTCTGTCCCTTCAGGACTGGTCCTTTTTCTAGGAACTGAGCTCTGAGCCTTTGTAACATCCCGCTGGATAAGTTTTTTGGCATGCTCGACACCCAGGACCTTGTGGCACTTGGCCAGGTAGCGTATGCTAACGATGTGACTTGCGAGTGGGCGGGGAACCAGACCACTTGTTTTTGCTCTGGGGCACTGGAGTCTGAGTAATTGATTGAGGTCAGTCACACAAGCACTGCCAAAGTGACTGGCCCCCAACAAAACCTCTAGACTCAAGGCTCAGGTGCCCTGGCTGGTTAACAGGATGTGATGCACTGTTGCTGGGAGAGCTAAGCACGTCCATGTGACGCCACTGCAGAGAGACACCAAAAGCTTCTGCCTAGTTTCCTCGGGACTTCCCTCCAGGCATCCTCCCCTTGGCTAATTTTAATCTGTATCCTTTTTGCAGTAAAAACCCACAACTGTGAGTCTAACAGCTCTCCTGAGTTCTTCGGAGTCCTTTTAGTGAAATCATCAAGTCTGAGAAAGGATCCCTGACACAGCAACAGGAATATTAATCATTTAATATTTATAAGTTACTTAATTTCCAAAAAAAGAAAACCAACTTGCAACTATACACAATAAATCTATAAACCCACAAGGAAACTCTAAAAGTGACAGTGTGGGCTCAGAACCCACAGGCATGAGATGGCAAATGGTGGAGTCTCTCTCCTTAACACCAAGACACACCTGTCTCCTGGGCCCAGGCTGAGTTCCTGCATGCCTAGGTTAAAGGAATCACAACAGTGTGACTGCTGTGACTTCCTAATCCAGAGCACCCGGCTGATTCAGCACGACTGTCACAGTGCAGGGTTTGTCTAGGAACAGTCAAGTGAGGGTGGCTTCTAAAACACTTCGGTCTTTTGTGAACTTATTGTTCAAAATGCCACCAGAAAATCAGTAATTAATACTGTTCAATAAGCAGGTTTGTGAGTAAATCAGTATAACTTGTAAGAATATAATCAGAAATTTATGTAGTTTATTTATAATTACAAGTGACTAAATTCTAAACTGTTTTATGATTTCTAAGCATTTTTACTCAAATTTGGATTATTTAATGCAAAGACTTTTCCGTACCCTCACACAGCTGCTTCCACGAAACTGTCGGTAACTCTTTTAGCTCCCCTGTGTAATAATTCTCCATGTGTCAGAATACTCAATATTTCCAAACAAAAAAACATTTCTTTACAACAATGGCAATAAGTTTCTATGTTCCTATACATCTCATTACCAGGACAACTAATAAAATAACTTCCTGGTCCCCATCAATTCAGTAAAGATTATTTACCTTTTTCAACATCAATCTACTAGTAACCAAATCATACCACACTCAATTCCTAAAGTGCCTCATTGTCTGATCTCTTGGAAAAATAAGCGAAATTTCTGTATTTAATCATAACTATACATAAAAATGATGGCAGTAGGTGGAAATGTGGCATGGAATCTACCGCAGAGAAACTTCACTTGGAAACCACAGATCCAGCGAGGCAGGGTGAAGCACACGCTTTAACAGTATCTTCTGCCCTTTTATATTCTTACCTCTCTTTTTCCTTCGTTCTCGAATTATCTTCTGAGCTATCCTCCTCCAACGGGGCAAAGAACTTAACAATTTAAACTTAGACATTACAGAGAGATCATTACAAACAGCAGGTCTCAATTCATTAAAGAGGAATCTCAGACGTTCGATGACAGGAGCGCAGACCTCCTTGTAAGAACGGCCCTGTTCTTGATGAGTCTGCAAAGTTAACCAGGGAAAGACAACTCAACAACAAAGATTTCAGCAACTGTCTGCGAAGCACACAAGAAAAAGAATTAAAATCTATCACCTTAATAAGTGAACATTTTGCTTGGTAGACAACTCTACAAACATCCACCACCGACTTAGGCAATGTTCTGTGCTTTACTTGCTCAATACCAAGTGCACCTGCGTGAACTAAAGATAATGCCACATGACCTGTAAAAAGACACGTAAGACAAGGGCAGGGAAAGAATGAATGTGTACCACAGCTTGGTTGAGGAACCGGCAGCACAGCTGAAGTACACAGACAATGAGTTCCATACCTAAATCTTCATGTTTTAAGAGGCAACATAACAGCAAGCGACCGACCTCTTCCACGGGATGCTCGGGGGGAAACGTGATCGGTGTGGTCAAGTGGCACTGCCTACAGTACCTCTCTATTTGACACAGAAAGTCCTGAAAGAGACACATCTGGAGGTAACTTGAGGGTCACCCAGTGAGTCTTCACAAATCCTAAACATGCCACAGCTTCTGATGCACTTGCAATCGGTAATGCTTCTGAAGCCTCACTAGCATGTTAACAGAATCAGGTTCTCACCTCAAAACTCTCCAAATAATACATGAAACAAAGTCTGTGCTATATGTTAGGCAAAGCGTACATAGGTATTCCTATGTCCAAGTCCTCAGATACACACAACACTGAGGTGCAGTGCCGGGAGGCCTCACTCACCTTCACGTTGTGATCCTGAATGTTATTGTCTGCGACGGCTTGCAGAAACGCCTGGGAATGGTCGCCCAGGGCCCGTCTGTGGGAGCAGAGTCGAGACTTGCTGGCAGGGGTACCCCCTGGAGAGCTGCAGTGGTCCTCATCTTTCTCCTCGTTGTAGCTGTAGTGGATCTGGCTGGTCTGCAGGCCTCCAGAGAAGATGGACGACTGAAGCCATTCTGAAAAATGCACACACAAACGTGAAAGAGAAACTCCAGTGCACAGCTCAAAATAAATACTAAAAACAAAAAAGATGCTCAACTGCACACTCAATTTAGAAGGTGGAACTCAGCATCACTCATATGAAAGGGCTCCACCTAACATGTCTGTTTACACAGGCTGACTTATGATTCCTCCATCTATGTGAACACAGGTAACACTTTCTGGTGATTCCACATGCCTCAGGCATGGCATCAGAACTCAGGATCATCGTTCCAGTCCAAAATCCACTGGACACCTGTCCTTTGCCTACAGCTGCCTGGCTGCACAGATACCGTGCGAAGACTGGGTGGCACATTCTGACAGGGAGAGCAGCAAAGGGCACCACGGACACAACTAATCACAGGATTCCAAGTCTGAAAGTATGTTTGACTATCAGGGTACCAGGGAGACTGGATGACAGACCACCACCATTCTGAGGCTCAGTATAGGACTTGTGGAAGCAACAACTAAGATGAGGAATAAGACCATGAATCAGACCATGATGCTGAGTATCCAGGAGCATCTGAAGGGTTTCTACACAGACTTACATCCTCGAGGTAGGCTACATATTCCTAGAGCATTTGTAAAGGAACAAGGAGGAGAAAATATTTAACACACACGCAATCTGTAATGAAAGAGAGATCCTTAAGGGGACCTGTGTGTGGTGTAAGGTGCCAGATCAGCCAGCCGTGAACGTGAATTACAGCTGCTTACGGTAACTGGAGGGCGTTGCACGCACACACACACACACACACACACACAACTGGAATGTGCACCATTACACATCTGTATTAACGATCTGTCACCAAATATGGATCCAAATCCAAGCAGCCAAAGCAGGGATGCACTTAGTGTTCTTTTACCTGACGTGCAGATTTTAGAGCACTCAGGAGCATTCCCCAAATCACCACATTTGTTCTTCTGAAAAACAAATCCAACGTCGACTCTCCCCGGCCCTCTCTCTTTAGGCACAGGACAGCCCCCCCTTACTGCTCCAAGATAAGTCTGATCCTCCTGTGGATCAGATCCACCTGCCAGGGCCCATGGCACCCTCTGCCCTGGAGCTCACCAGCCCTGCCCTACTTGCCAATTTAAGCAAAGCCCATCTCTGGCAAGCAACGAGCCTCAAGGAGGAGTGAGGGAAGCACCTGCCTCAGAGGGCCCCACAGAAGCCCACCACCCAGCACTGCACAAAGGTCTGCCCAATGAGGGGCTGTGTGAGCGCCAAGATTCCTTCCCCGACCAGCCTTCCGCCACACCCACTCTCACGAGCGGCAGGAAAGCCCTGCTCCTCTCAGCAGCGCCTTTCACACCCCTGCATTTTCTGCCCAGAATGCCCCCTCACCCAACTTCAGGACTGCGGCCAATGTGAAGCCTTTCTTCCTCCAGAACCACGTATGAAAGTCTCTATTTCACCATTCACCACCCCGTAACGTGACCTGCTTAGAACACTGCCTCATCCACAAGAAACAGCTGAAGGCGGAGGCGTGTCCTATCCGTCCCTGCATCCTGAACACCTAGCATGGGAACCGCACCAAGCAACTGCTCAAGAGAAGCAGCTCACAGGCACAGACAGACAGACAGCTGCGAAATGCGCAACTACATGAAGAAAAATGTAAACCCATCTTAGGACACAGGAAGAAACTTAAAAGGCTGCCATCTGGAAATATAGCTGACTGGTAAAAACACAGTCCTCAAATAGGATGCTGTTCCCTGACAGGATGGCTGATGCACATTCTGTGCAATTTGTGGGCGTGCAGGGAGACGAAAGCCATGCTGGGCCCAATGGGCAGAGGCTGTAACGTGGGAGGCCACCACAGGCTGGATATTCCCGCACACTTTTTAGCTTCCTCTGTAGCAACAAACCACGAGGGCAAATGACAGCCACTCACAGCTACCCCTAACTGAGTTCAGTCTCCCTATCCTTATTTCTCATCATCCTCAGCTGTGTTGAATCCTACTTTCCTACTTTTTTTTAAGAGTGAGTCTTGCTCTGCCACCGAGGTTGGAGTGCAGCAGTGTGACCGTGGCTCACTGCAGCCTCAAGCTCCCAGGCTCAAGCGATCCTCCTACCTCAGCCTCCTCAGTATCTCAGACTACAGGTATGGGCCACCATGCCTTCCTAATTTTTGTGTTTTTTGTAGAGATGGGGTTTTGCCATGTTCCCCAGGTTGGTCTCAAACTCTTGACCTCAAGTAATCCACCTGCCTCAGCCTCCCAAAGGGCTGGGATTACAGGCATGAGCCACTGTGTCTGGCCCTCTCCCACTCTTAATGACGGTTACAGTTCAAAAACAATAATCTGCTAATCAGCAGAAAGCAAAGATTTTCTTACTGGCACATTCGATCTCGACAGGAGACAGCGGCGTGCTCATTGCTAAATAGGAAGCGTGTAATCCGAGAAGCAGGCCCAGATTCCTCTCTGTGTCTATCAGAGGTGAAGAGAGACTTCCCAGATCTGGTATGGTCACAACTTCTTGGTCAGGCTGGAAAAATAAGTTTCATCATCACTCTGAGGAAACAGAATCAATTAAAAACTTAAAACCAAAAGGATAGCTTCTGTCCTGCAGCTGTACCACCATGTGAGCCCAGGGTGCCCTGGGCGTTCTACCCTCCATTCCGTAACAAGTTGATGCTGCTGTGCCCAAGTAACATCAGATACCACATAAACCCAATGCCCTATGAGGCAGGCAGCAACTGCACAGCCCGGCCCTAGAAAAACTAAAGGACAGATACATTTGCCTAGAATACTCCTTAGGAATCAGTTTCCATGCTTCAGAAAATATAATGAATTGTTATATGCATAAGGAACCCATTGGGCAACAAAACTGTGACATGGCAGGTACTCGATGACAAGTATTAGTGGACCGTGACCACACACATGGAGGAAATGAAATTATTCTAACAAAAATGAAACTCATAAAAAAAAAAGCAAGAGTTCACCTTTTCCACTCACAGAAGATATTTACAGCAAAGTTAATTTTCCCCCTCATAAAATGTTTTAAAGCCTGCCCTTATGGCATTTAATACATTTTATTACTTGTGGATACCTGGAAAGCCAATCCCAATATATAAATTCCATGTGTTCGTAAATACATAGGAAGGACATATTTCTATTCTAAAGGATTACACTTCTGCATATTTCTTCCCAAAAAATACATACCTCAAGATAATAAGCCATTCCAAATTCCTACATAAGACAAAAGTTTAACCTCTTTTCTTGTGGAACACTGTCTATATTTCTCACAAATTGGTCATTTAAAAAACAATCTTTCAAGACCAGCACATCAAAAATCTTAACATGAATAAATGTAAATTCATTTATGAAAAAAACTTCTAAAAGATCCTTCTATTTATCCCTGATGCCCCCCTCAAAAGACCCCGCTGTCAGTGCTTCTGGATCCAAATATTCCTATCACAAACACACACAGGGTATCCCCTGACATCCTGTGTGACACTCAAGGCATACAGCCTTACCTCCAAATACTGGCCGACACAAAATGCATGCATGGATTCCCGGGTGTCTTCAAACTGCAAAGCAGCTTCCAAAGCTACCACTGGGTCTTCCCCTGCAAACTGAGCTGAAACAAAAAGGAAAAAAGCAACATGAGTTCAATTTAATTTACCTAAAGAGCTTTAGTAGAAACAGTGAGTAGGAAATAAGTTAGGCGCTTAACTCAAAGGTGAGGGTTAGCAGAGTATAATGACCTCCCACTGTCTCCCAGAGTTGCCTGCGTCAACTCAGAACTTGAAATGAGTTCCCAGTATTAAAACAAAACATGCATAATGATAGGAAATTCTTCAAATGTGCTGAATTTGTTGATAAGATAAACACCAAAGTTACAGACACATTAAAATATGTGGGGGCTAGCACAAAACTAAGCCAAATACTCTGCTTGAAATGACACATGCTGTAACTTCTAACCATTAAATAAGAAGGGTAACCTTACCGAGAATACTATTTCCTGTTAACGACTGAGTCTGGAAGTCCTTTATATCATACACTTTCCCATCAATCACAGTCCAGAAGCCTCCATCTTTATTATGGTTCTCCAAATCAGCTTTGCGTATCAGTGTTACTTCCTCATTATTTCTACAGTTCTGACCTGTAAAAAATGACTCTGTATATACAGAAAGTAGAATCAGTCCATCGATCAATAGGTAAAATGAAAAGAACAAACTGTGTGAAAGAACTACAAGCAAAAATAAACAAAACCACAATCACAATGCGAGAAATACATTCCTAGCTCTGTAACTAACACCACAAATACAAATTCTATTAAATATTGAATGCTTTTAAAAGCATCCAGGCAGCATGAATATCAAATATGGCCATGCCAGGCCACAGAGCAACTCTCAAGCGGTTTCAAATAAAGAAAGTTACAGAGCATGTATGCAGACTACAATGCAGTTAAATTAGAAATACATTTTTAAAAATTTATCCCAAATAAATAAAAATATCCATCCACATATTTGAAAACTACAAAATATACTTATAAGTAACCCAAAATTCCAAGAAAAAAAATGACTATGAAAATTAGAAAATGTGTTGAAATTAATAATAAAAATATGGCAAATCAAAATTGGTGACATACAGCTAAATGTATGCTTGAGGGTATTTACGCCTTTAAATGTATATATTGGGGGGGAAAGCTAAAAAAGAAAAAAAAACACCAAACAAATAAAAGTCTATTCATTCATAAAAATACTCAAAAAAAAGAAAGAAAGAAAACCCGAGTAGTGGTCACCTTTGGAAGCACTAGGATATCAACTCAATATTATGCAAAAGAGTTAAAAGGGGTGGCACTTCAGTAAGTCAAGCTTAGATCATGTCCTTCCTGAACAAACTGTAGCTCCTGGTCACCAGACAGCTGAGTGAAAGGTTGGTCGGGGATTTTATGGAGGACATATAACACGTGAATTCCCCGGTCTATCTTCACAGAACTAAAGCAGGGAGCCACTGAGCATGACAGGCCTCCGGAGCCAACAGAACGCATGCAGCATGACTTCAGACATAACACGGACCCAACAAGACCGAATTCAAATCCAACCAAACCTCTAGATCTAACCAGCAGACTAGAGAAATGAAACTCATAGAAGAACATGTTGGAGTAGAGTACGAGAATGCAATCAACCAAGTTCAGAAAACGTGAAGTTCCCCAAAATAACCAATCTGCTTCTTTGAAAGAGAAAACAGTACGATCAGAGACAGGGAGAGGAGGGCCTGGAGCCATGTTGTTAGAGGAAAGAGCCTAGACGCATATGTCAACCAATGCCAACACACAGAACTTGCTCAGGTCCTCATTCAAAATTACCACCTAAAAAAGGCATTTTTGAGATAGTCCAGGACAATGTAACACGGGCTGCATGACAGATTAAAGAATCACTGTTACTCTTATGGATAATGATATTGTGGTTGGTTTTTTGTTTTCTGTTTTGTTTTGAGACAGAGTCTTGCTCTGTCGCCCAGGCTAACATGCAGGCGCAATCTCGGCTCACCGCAACCGCCACCTCATGGGTTCAAGTGATTCTCCTGCCTCAGCCTCCCGAGCAGCTGGAACTACAGGCGCACACCACCATGCCCAGCTAATTTTTATATTTTTAGTAGAGATGGGGTATCACCATGTTGGCCAGGCTGATCTCGAACTCCTGACCTCATGATTCACCTTCCTCAGTCTCCCAAAGTGCTGGGATTACAGGTGTGAGCCACCGTGCCTGGCCTTGTGGGTTTTGTTTTTTTTTTAAGTTACCTCAGGCCACACACAAAAACTGATTCGAAATGGATCAGAGACCTAAAAATAAGTGCTAAACTATAAAATATTCTAGAAGAAAACACAGGGGAAAACCTTCACGGCACTGAATTTGGTGATGCTGACTTGAATAGGACACCAAAAGCAGCACAGGCAACAAAAGGAAAAAGCAGGTAAGTTGGATTTGATCAAAATCACACACTTCCGTGCATCGAAGGAGGGAGGCTATCAAGAGTGAAACGGCAACCCAAAGAATGCAAAACAGATTGCCAATCATATATATCCAGAACATGGAATGAACTCCCAAAGCCCAACATGACAAAAAACCGCCTTAAAACCTGGGCAAAAGACTTGAATAGACATTTCTCCCAAAAAGATATGCAAATGGTCAATAAGCACATGAAAAGATGCTTGACATCACCAATCATTAGCGACATGCAAATTAAACCACAAGGAGATACCACTTCACACCCCGTTATGGCTACTATCAAAAAAAAAACAGAAAATAAACAAGTGTTGGTGGGGATGTAGAGAAACTGAACTCCTGCACGCTACCAATGGGAACGTAAGATGGTACAGCCACTCTGAAAAACAGTACAGCAGCTCCTTAAAAAAATTAAATATAAAATTACCAAATCATCTATCAATTCTACCTCTAGCTATATACCCAAAAAAAGTAAAAGCAGGGATGCAAATGGATAATATACACACCCACATTCATAGCAGCGTTACTCACAATAGCCAAAAGCTGGAAACAACCCAAGTGTCATCAACTGATGGATGGACAGCAAACTGTGATCTATTCATATAATAGAATATGATTTCACCTTAAAATACAAGAAAATTCAACTATGCAGCCATAAAAAAGGAGGAGTTCATGTCCTTTGCAGGGACATGGATAAAACTGTAAACCATCATTCTCAGCAAACTGACACAAGAACAGAAAACCGAAAACCAAACACCACATGTTCTCACTCATAGGTGGGTGCTGAGTAATGAGGACACATGGACACAGGGAGGGGGACATCACACACCGGGGTCTGGGGGTTGGGGGCTAGGGGAGGAGCAGCAGGAGGTGGGGGGGACTGGGGAGGGATAGCATTAGGAGAAATACCTAACGTAGATGACAGGCTGACGGATGCAGCACACCACCATAGCACATGTATACCTACGTAACAAACCAGCACGATCTGCACATGTACCCCAGAACTTAAAGTATAATAAAAAAAAAAATGTAAGGAAATTCAGACACCTTCTACAACACAGGTGAAACCTGAAGACATGCTAAGTGAAATAAGCCCATCCAAAAAGGATAAAAACTGTATGGTGCCACGTATATGAGGTACCTGGATTAGCCAAATTCACAGAGACAAAGTAGAATGGTAGCTGCCAGGCGCTGGGGAAACTGGTGTTTAATGGGTATGGAGTTTCAGTTGGGAGAAATGAAAAGTTCTGGAGATGAGCGGTGGTGACAGCTGTGAAACAACGTAAATGTACTTAACGCCACTGAACAGTACACCTACATGGCAATTTTTTTTGTGGGGGGCCACGTGCCAAAGCAAAAATTTATTAAAATTCATTTATATAGTGTTTTATAGACAAAAGTAGAGTCTTCAACATTCAGGCAATCACCTGTATTTTCAGAAGTGCTTTATGAGGAGATGGATTTCCTTCCCCTCCCCACAATAAGATATTTCTGTCTATACTCCTAAAAATGATGCATTTATTTATACAACCTTTTCAAGAACAACCACTTTTCAATCCCAAAACCTGGGCAGAGAGTGAAAAGAGACAAACAGAGCCTTCTCCAACATGGTAGTCCTCACAACAGAGGTGTGATGCAAGAAATACATGAAACGGCAGCTCTTCAGAGGAGCGTGTGCACACCCAGCAGGTAGGCCGCCCCTCGCTGTGGAGTGTGGCCAGCCGGGACCGCATGGCCTCCAGAGCTTCTTCCTCCTTCTCGTCCTCTGAGGCGGCCATCGCTCCTGAAGGTTCTGGCTCTGGAAGGGCATCAGTCACTTTACCAGGTGCTTTGCCCAAGGCCCCTGCTGTAATTTCAAATAGAATTTTGTCGATTTCCATTTCTGCTTCTTCCTCCATTTCTTCCTGATCGTCCATGCTTTCGAAAGTGTCCTCTAACATCTCTGTGATCCCAGCCTTCAGCATTTCTTTGGACAGCTCCCTCATGGTGGCCTGAATTTCTGGAATCTTCACAAGACTTTGCACGGCCCTCATCACTTCTGTGCTCTTCTGGAGGGAACCAGCCACTCGCAAGACCACGAGCTGGTTCCTCATCCCCATGAGCACCGAGTTCATGTGTGCTTTGGATGCATACAGCTTGTTCATGGCCGTCCCTGACCTGATCATGGCCCTGGCCAGAGCTGTGCAGACATCCTTCTGGCCCTTCTTGGCTGCATCTTTCACAGATCGTTTCACGTCTTCTTCTTCTCTTTGGATATCCCTTATTTGCCTGTCAACAACTCTGATTTCCTTTCAGTTACCATTCATTGGCCAGTTATTTTGGTGGCTTCTCCTGGGTTTTAACCAACAGCCCCATGGCGAATTGAACTCATCTTGCCCACTCCGGCTTTCTGTTCCCCACGCCCAGGCAGGTCACCGGCAGCTGCCTGGGTGGGGCCTGCGGAGAGCTTACATGGCAAATTTTACCAATCTTATATACACCCTTCCAAGAAAACAATAGGAACAAACATTCTCCTACTCACTCTATGAGACTAGCACAACCTTGGTTACAAAAACCTGAATGTCTATTACGTTTTCCTGCCAGTGGATCCATCAGCCAGTATCTCCCCCAGCTCGCTAACATTCTCCGGTGGAGAGATGGAAACTAGCAGGGCTGCATGGGCATCACCCTCTTCCTGATTTGCAGCTGCTCTGTTAGTAAAGGGGTGGCGGTCATCAATACCAGTAACTTACAGGGCATTACAAGAAAAGAAAATTGTAGGTCACCAAAAAAAATCACAAGGAAAATGGCACGCAAAATCCAGAAAAATTACAAATACAAATGCAAAACTGTCTTTAAAAAATAGCAAACCAAGACCAGAAATATGTATCCATATAACCAATATTATGATCAAAGCAGTTTAATTCCAGAAATGGAAGACTGTGTCAACATTTGAAAAGTCAGTAATTCACACATTAACAGAAAAACATAAAAATTCTATGATCAAGTAATGCAGGAAAAGCATTTGACGAAGTTTAACAGAAACAGAAGAAAACATTCTTAAGATTCAAAAGTACTTAAAAAGAGACTCCTAAAACAAACATCATACTTCGCGTGTGAAATCTGGAAAGCTCTTTCTCTGCTACTAAGAAAAAGGCCAGGAGGCACACTGTCACCATTTCTACTCCACAACACACTACAGGTGCCAACAAGTGCAGTCAGTCACTGAGGGAAAAGCTGCCAGACCAGAAGAGGCACAAGTACAGACAATCACTTGGTTCAGACAAAGGCGGCACCCCAGAATAGTGCCCATGGACAGTCTTTTCACCCAAAGGAGCTGGCACAAGGACGCTATGGACAAAATGCCTATGGGAAAAATATGACATGTGACCCCAATCTCACAACATGCACAAAAATCAAGTCCAATTGTACTACAGCTCTTAACATGAAAGTTAATGCAATAAAACTTTAAAGTATAAAAGAAAATCTGGGGAAGAAAACGATTTCTTAAGAAACAAAATGAGCCGGGC